TAATTTTTTGGGGGCCAACTACAGTGGGCTTTTTGTGGTGTTCGAAAATATAAATTAAAGGGAAAGGGCCCCCCCCCCCCCCCGCACATATGTGCTAGTCATTCTTGACTCTAGGGGGCGGTGCTCATCTCCATTTCAAAAACAGAAAGACAGAAAGAAAGAGAGAGAGAGAGAGAGAGAAGAAGGAAATATGTAAATAAAGAGATCTCGTTGTTTTGCATGTCTATGTTTTCAAGTCGATGTTTTGGAGTCTTTCTATTGAAGCTAGAGTGGCAATTAAAGCAGAATCTAGTTAATCTGACGATAAATGCAAATGGCAATCTTGATTCCTTGGAAAAGGAGAACTTTGGAATAGGCCCAACCATAATTCTCCTTCCTTCAGGTAGCTTTTGAGAGATCTCCTATAGTCCAGGCTTTAGAAAGGCATCCTAAATTGGATCCCTATAACAAATCACCTGTGTGATTCACCTATATCCTTGGTCATTGAAAAATCCCTGTCTGCAACCTACCCATTGGTATCCTGACGGTTTGGACTACTATCCTATCAATTATTTGATCCTATAGAATCATATCCAGTTGAGAAATACAGGACAAGTAGTCCTTGACTTACAACATTTCATTTAGTGACCATTCAAAGTTACAAAAAAGTGAAAAAAAGTGACATGGCTATTTTTCACAGTTACAACCTTTGCAGCATCCCTGTGGTCATGCGATCAAAATTCAGATGCTTGACAACTGGCTCATGCTTATGACGGTTGCCCAGGGTCCCAGGGTCGAATGAGCAACTTTTGAGACCTTCTGACAAGCAAAGCCAATGGGCAAACCAGCCTCACCATGTTACTAAGACAGCAACTGCAGGGTTTCGCTTCACAAATGTAGCAAAAATAAAAAGTCGTAAAGCTCACTTAACAAATTCCTCACTTAGCAAAATAAATTCTGGGCTCAATGGTGGCCATAAGTCGAGGACTATCTATACTAGCCAACATGAGTAATGGAAAAGTATCTCCCTTAACTTTTCTTCACAGGGTGGAGAAACAGGATAAGGGCTTGTTCTTAACCACAGTACACAAATACACTCATGAGGTTCTGAGATACTCAGCCTCTCCCAAGCCTCATGTTTCAGTCAATATTAGACTTAGGCTTATTTACCTAAAAAGCCTTCTTCTCTACACCCAAGCTGATAATACAGGCTTGTTATCTTGAGATAACAACTGAGGTAATTTGAATGAAAAATTTTTTTTCTTGTACTGAAGAGACATGTTGGATCTGCCGACTGGCGACTACCCGGAGGAGAGCCTTCTCTGTGGCTGCTCCGACCCTCTGGAACGAACTCCCCGTGGAGATTCGAACCCTCACCACCCTCCAGGCCTTCCGCAAAGCCCTTAAAACCTGGCTATTCCGACAAAAAAAGGCCTGGGGCTAAAGAGCTTCTGCCCCCCTTCTCGAATGGTATGGTTGCTGTGTG